ATCCATATTATAACTTCAGGTTCCTTTGGATTCTTGTTCCTTAGCCTTAGAAGATCTCCTAGGCACATGGTCCTTCTTTTCTCCTTAAAGAAAAAGAGGAACTATGGGTAGTTTGCACTGCAGACATGGCATGTGATTGCGTTGCCTGCAATGTCTGTAGTGCAGACTACAAACCTTTGTCAGAATTCTGAAATTTGTATTTAAAGCTGTTAATTGTGTTAGAAACAGGCAGCTGGGCTTAAACTTTATAAAGATTAATTGAAATAGCTAGAAAGTCCAAGTAGCTCTACTCTTGTACAAAGCATTTAATCCACCAACAGAAGAAGGTCGTTCTGTTCTGTCACTGTGAAAGACGTCCTTTAAATGTATAAAAGTACAGTTTTAATTCTGATTTCAATGAATAGAAGTGTTAACAAAGAATGTTTTCCCAGTCTGTTAACCAGCACATGATATATGTTTCAACTACTGTGCCTGTATCAGACTAGCAAAAATAATACAGAAATCAACCTCTGCATTTTTTTGGTCTAAAGAATTGTCTATCTTGTAAGAGTTGGGCATCTAGATCTCTCAGTGTTTTTCTGTGATAGTCTTTTTCCTTGAGAGAACACAAATATTTAGGGAAGAAGGGGGAAAATTAATACAAAGAGTTATTCAGAGTGGTTCTGCTTGCCTTTCAGAGTTGGCTTTCATCTTGAAGCCCACTGTTTGAATCCCAGATTTTTTCCCCATCGGCCTTTGGTTCTACTGAGGTCATTGTTTTAGCTCTCATGTCTTGTATGCATCAAACACTTCAGCAACTCCTCTATGTACTTTAGTTCCCTCATGCAAATGAAGGGCTTTTATTCGTTAAGCAATGTAAGCTTTATTTCTTTGGTGCAAGAAAGTATTAAGCTACATGCATAATTGAGGATTAACCCCACTTTTTGCATCTTTCTTGTTTTGAGTCCTTTTACATAAAGTAACAGCCATATGATTCAGTCTTTCTTTGGAATTAACAGGGATGCTTCTACTAGTAGAGTGTAACATAAGCTAGTTTCATTGTTTTCTAAAATACTTTGTTTTCAAGATGGCAGGCCTTTGTCTTCACAAATGTATCCTGAAAATAGCTGTGTTAGGATGTTTAAAGAATGACTAACCTGGTTTATTACCATATAAAATGTGAATTTAGTGCTTGTATTTAGTTAGTATTTACTTAGTAGTTAATTTTTTACAGATATTATTTGAGAGGGCATTGTTTCCTTCTGCTCAGTGTTGATCAATATTCTGAGTAGAGATGTAAGCACCTTTCAATTCTCCTGTAGTTGACTTCCACGGGACATGGGTTTTCAAGTTGTTCCCTAGGTATTTCTCCCTGTAAAATTACTGTGTGCTAAAGATGTGATGTATCCATGGTAGATGAATTTGTGAACGGCCAGCACTTCCTCTATTTCTGAGCTTTGAGGAGTTCTAAATGCTAGGAGTGTAGACTTGCGTATTTTTCAGGTATTACAAGCAAGGTATGGGGAAAAATCTGGCAAAGGAAGGAATTTGGAATAGCACATCTATGATCTGAAAGTGTTTTACAATTTTGTTTTCTAGAAATCCTTTCTTTGTTTATAAGCACATGTAATTCTGACACAATTTTTCTGTTTGAGTTAATTCCTCTTGTGGGCTTGAAAGAGTAACAAGTCATGCCATGGAGAGGCTAGAATCTGTCTTATATGCAGACGGACCATTTCTGGAAAACATAAGTAGGCAATCCAATCAACAAAATACAGCAATCCAGTATGGTTGTGTTGCATTATGCAGTATTGACTGCTAGTAAATTATTTCAGTACAGGAAACTCACATTCTGGGAACATAAATTAGTAGTTGGAAGGTAGCAAAGTAACTGAATTACTTGCTAGACAGATCTGATAGGAAACGTTATGCTCTTATCCCTCCTTTAATGATAGATTTCCTATTTAACTAATATCCTCAAATATTCATGATAAAAACCATCCAAAAACCTAAAATAATACAGTTGCTGAGATACTTTATTCCTTCAGATCACTTAGGCAGGAAAATAGGTGCCTATTTTCCAGCTATGACAAGGTTCATTTCCTTTCTGTCAGGAAGTCTTTTAGCTGGGCAGAGATGTGTGGGAATACATGCGGACATCAAAGCCTTCCACTGCCCTTACTGCAAGTACAAAAGAAGGCTCAAGGCCTCTCTCCGATACAGTGTGTAAGGATTGAAACTGGTGGATTACATGTCCTGTTTTTGTTGTCGCTTAGATAAACTGCTGAAGGAAATAAAATGACTGCACAGTTAAATATGGAATGCTTTTTAAGAGCGCTTCTTTTATGCGATAGAAGGAATTTTCCAAATTTTGGACTTTGTGATTTCTCTGGCATTTGTGGATGTTAGTCTTCAAGGATGTGTTTGAGTTGCTTACACAAGAAAATCCTGGCTTAAGATGTGCATTCAGAAGACGCCTATGACAAGCTATAGGTGTTACAAAGACAAGGACATCTTGCATCCATAGTGCATTGACTGAGAAAGATGTCTTTGCTAGTTTGGAGGGCTGTGGACTTCAACCAGTTCACTGTTTCTAATTCTGTACTGGTACATAATTGCCTAAAAAGAATGGGAATGCCTTTATGAAACTTCTTAAATCAACCTGCATGTTTTTTGCATATTTCAAGGGTTTTTTTTTTTCCCATGTTGTACATTGTTTGTCCATTTTGGCTACATTCCATTTCATTTCCTGGTAAGCTCCTACTTCAACGTTCTGTTCTAAGGTTTATTGTTGGAATATTGAAAGGCACAGCCTCTCTCTGAGTAATGCTCTGGGTTTTCTTCTGTCTTAGTCAAGTAATTTGTTTATGTAGACTTTATATTACTATGGTTATATTAAGTCCTTCATTATGCCAAAATGAAGGCACTTGTATTAGCAATCATGAATTTAAACAGAACATACTTTCACCACTGTCTGCTTGGAATGTTTGTCTGCTCTATCTTGTAGGCACTTGCATAGTGAAGCTTTCTCCTTTTTTGAAGTGAGCGTTTTACAGGATTAGAAAACAAATTTAGCTGAATGAATTGAATATGAATGTGCTATGTTGCTTTAATAGCCTTCTGAAATCTGCTGCTTAATGTATATTGTAGGTGGGTTGACAGGACAGTGGGAAGATGCTTAGCAGCTTGTGGCAGTGTTGAAGTGAATCATGCGAAGAACTCATCCTATAGCATAATATTATAACCACTATCACCTACACTGGGAAAATTAACTTTTAGAAAAGTTTAAGGAATGAAATGCTTTTGCAGTGGCTTGTCAGGAATACGGTGCACTGACACTTGGATGATGTGGGTGGTGCTCCATCTTGCAGTGCTGGAACCCCAGGTGTAGCGCATGGCAGGAGAGAAGGGTGGGCAGATGTCTATCAGCCTCTTCACACTTACGTTTCCTGCCAGACATTTTGTGCTGCTGGCACAGATGGCTTTCAGTCGATGTGGCAGCAAGTGTGCCATGTGTACTCTATTCAGTATTCTTAGCTTAGGGAGAAAGCATCTGACAGGCTTTGAAAGTTAAAAAGGCAGTGGTACCTAAAGAAGAGATAACATCTGGGAGGTTCACGAGGCACTGACCAAGCACTGCTGATGATGTTCAGGTGCAAAAGTAAAACAGGTGACCAGAACCATGCTCAATAAATTAAACTGTTGCCAAAAATGAATGAAGGAAGTTCCTTTTTCTTATTTTAACCTTCATTATCTAGAAGGTCTGCAGTTCAGAGCAATTTCTTTCTGCTATTGTTCTGCCACTGACTTGCTATGTTATCTTCAGCAAATGCATGTAATGAATTCTGGGAAGCTGCTTATTAGCTGTGAAAATGTAGTTTGTTATCTAGATATCAAGCTTTTGACAACTGCTCCTGGAGTTGTTGTCAGCCTCTTCCTTTCTGCTTCTCCATGAACCATTAGAAATGAAAGAGTAAAAACAAAACCTTACAATACATCATGCTGACAAATTACACAGACGTTTAATTACTACAGAATGTTGTATCCCCTGCATTAGTTCCTAGAAGATAACATTAATGAAACTGGAGTTTGAGAGTTACTAGTGATAATGTTGTCTTAAAATGGTGTCTTGAGAATTACTGCTGTACCACCATTGGTGTCAGTACTTCAGTTCTTGTCATCTCTTCACTTTTGTTTAACTCAAAACTATTTGTTTTGTGTGTTTTTCTGTTTAAAAAAAAAAAGAGAATAGATTTTTTGGGGAGGAGACAAGAGGGGTTGGGCCGGATGTCTTCCACAGGTCCCTTCCAACCTCAGCCATTCAGTGATTCTGCAGTTGTGTTTTATTTTCTCAGTTCGTGGTTTCTGTCTATTTAGGTGCATTTCAGGATTGTGGTACATGAGAAAAATATGAAGATTAATATCTCAAATTAGAAATTGCAGGTGGGAATGCAGATGAAAGAAGAGGGTAGTTATTAAATATCCCAATGCCTTTATTACTGAAAGACATTGTTTATGTTTGTATCTGTGACCTAGATGTTGTGTCTTTTCAGAAAATTCCTTGTGTGCTTTCTTCATTAAGTTACAACGACATTCCCTTTATGTTATTTCCTTTTACTTTTTGAAAATTTCCTGTTCTGCTGCATTTTCCTGTTCTGAGGAAAGGATTTGTGTTTCTTATTATTATTTATCTGTTTCTTTGAGAATGCTGAAAGTCAGCACACTGAACTTGGATTCTGGGGGAAAAAATATCAAAGTGAGAATTGGAAATGATTCTGGGCAGTTGATATCAATGAAACTTATGGTGGAAGCAGGTCTTTGACGCATAAAACAGACCATTACCTTTAACTGCCCTGACTGTTATGTAAAATCATGCTTCATTAGCATCAAGATCATGTGAAAGATGAGGATGAGTTGTAAATGTGAATCCACTGGTTTTTCTTCTGAATTTCACCCTTCTCCCCCCTCAGTCTTGTGCTCCCATAGAGGATACTACATATTTGCTTTCTTTTTGTTGGTAGGTAAGAAACCTATGAAGTGTGTTCTTATTACTCCATTAAACCAAGTGTCAGCACTTGTGGAAGCATGCTAGTGAGAGGCCTTGCAGATGTCCACTCTGATCACGAGGTTGGTAAGTAAATAATTCTCTGTCAGACAAATTCTGTACTTTTACTGGCTTTAAGAAAAAACAGTGCACTTTGAGATATGTACTTCTTCCCATTAATAAAAACAAATAAGCAAATAGATACCTGTAGGGAGCTTGGCTCTCTGAAGGCTTTTTTATTCAAAGGAATTGCTTTCTGTCCCCTCTTTACAGTTCAGTCCCCCCTCTGTACAGTTAGCAGTACGTAACTTGTGCACTGATTATTCTAAAAAATGTTTGGAACAGAAAATGTGACAAATAGAAAAAGGTGACGATATCTGTACGTACCAAGGGACTGGACAAATGATAGTGACACGTACGTTTATGCATTCACTCAGTGGTTGTGTTTCCTGATTTCCTGCAGTAGTTGCATATAATACTGTTTCTTCACACTGTTTTGTTTGCTTGTAGTTTTGGTTCCAACCTCCCACTTCTGTTGGTTGAGGAAATGAACACGTTTCTGTTGCTGCTAACTCATTTCATTTTGCGGTGTTGTCAGAGCGTGAGAATGGATGAGAAGGAGCATTAGCTAGTCTTAGTAAAGCTGAAGTACATGTTGAAAGCATGTACTTAGTAGCCTCAGAGACTGTCTAGATGTTGAATTCTTGTGTATTTAAACTCTGTGTGATAAGTGATGTACTATTTGCTTTGCTTTTTTGAAACTCCAAAGGTTAAAAGTAGGATAAGCTGATTTCCACAAGTCACTTCTTGAAATATGCTGTGGTTCGTGAAAAGAGGACTTGATAGTGGTGATTATGATTGCAAATGTAGAGCTATTTATGGAGAATCTTTTGATACCACATGTAAAATCTGAAAAGGCATCTATCAAAAGGTTAGACTGGACATTAGAAATGCTTTACTGTGAAGGTAGTAAGGCACTGGAACAGGTTGCCCAGTGAAGTTGTGGATGCCCGCTCCATGGAGGCATTCAAGGCCAGGCTGGATGGGGCTTTGAGCAACCTGGTCTAGAGGGAGGTGTCGCTGTCTGTAGCAGGGGGTTGGAACTACGTCATCTTACAGGTCCCTTCCAACCCAAACCATTCTGTGAATCTTGAAGTAAATTCCTTCCTCGCTCTGAGCTTTTCAGAAACTAAGTAATGTAATAACAGGCCTTTTTCTAATGTTCTCAGCAGCTGGGTAGAAATACAGAATTGCAAACATTACACTCTTTGATTATTCAAATTGCCTTATTTTTACAAATTTTTTTACAAATGGTTGTTTACTGTTCCAGTTACAGAGGTAGGTATTTGCTTGCATTTGTTTGTTTTCTAGAAGGTATTATGTATGTTGTATGAACAAGAACAAGCAGTAGTTGGAGAACTTGAGGGAAATGGTAGTGGTGGGCTCCGTAGAAAATAGAGCAGAACAGGAGTAACCAATTTCTTTATGCATTATAATAGTAGGCACAAGACATTGTTTCCTTTTCTATCAGTTAAGCTTTAGTTCTAGGACAGAGATGAGCATAGCAGAAGACTCATATTGAAATTGCTCCACTACTGAAAATCTATTTCTTAAACAGTTATGTAATACGTCATAGTATTTTTCTCTCTTTTACAATATGCTTTTTCATTTATTTGTGCTCTGAGTTTAGTGCAGGCACTAGCACCTACATCATTACTGAAAAAGTGTAGTGAAGTCTGAAGGTGGCAACTCTTCATCGTAACTCAGAATTGCCATGAAATTTAATTTAAAATGCATCTCTGCACATATCAGTATCTATGTATGCATAATGAACTCCAGAATTTAAATGTGTATTGGTCTGGTCCATTTACAGTGTTTTTACTTTAAGGGTTCTGTCATATAGAAAGCTCAAAGTGATCTGGGAGGAGAGAGGTGAATTTACATGAGATATCTGCATTACTCAGTGACTGCAAAGTCAGATCACTGCCTTTGGTGGCACAGAGTCAATAGGTTCACATTTTCGATAGCTTTGCTGTCAAAGCCTGCAACAGGATTTTCTGAAAAGTGCTCCTGATGACAATACAGATAGGGATGTAAAGAATTCTGTGCTGCCTTAGTAAGAATGTGTGGGAAAATGTTTACTCTTTTGTCAATCACAACTTGAAAACCCAAGCTTTTCTTCATTTGTGCAGTAAAAAAATTTTCTCATATACCAAATTGCTCAATTATATTTCTTGTTAGGTCTGAGAGGAAAAAAAGAAGTTGTTTGTCTGTGTAAGCATACTCTGAAAAAGTGAACAGTCTTTTGTTTGTTCTGTTCACATAACACCACTGCCTGAGAACCACAACCCTGTATATAGAAAACCCATAAATGCTCACGGCACCACATTTTTAAACTGGTACGGTATATTTACTACGTCTAAGAGTTATGTTTAGTCTACTTTGTTTCTTGTTTAATCTGACATCTCTGTAATTCCACTTCTGTGGTGGAATATGATGGGCATTCCCACAAGGCATCTTAATTTCATTTAAGACACTTAAATGTGTGGGCAGATTCATCTCCACAGGGTTGCTTACTGCCTGCCTGTAGTTAACTTTACAGAGGAAACACAGTTGGCTAATTTAGGATGAATGCTACTGTAGATGATTTGATTTTGATTCCTATCCCATAACATTGTTAGTTGCTTTTGCCAAAGTAGACATCTTCAATATTGGCTTGGGGGGAGTATGGAGTACTCCATACTCCATATGGAGGAGTATGGAGGACACTTAAATACAAAGCATTTTGCATTACAAATTCATAAATTGTGATATCTGGTTGATGTTAGGTAACAAATGCTGAAACTAATGCCCGTGTCTCAGTCTGGATTCTCCTATAGTGTGTATACAGTGGAGTTCTAGTTGGACTTAGTACTGGGGGAACCCAAGGTTTAGATCCTGGATTTGGTGTTTGCCTGGTCTAAAAGATCAGAGGTTTTGATTAGGAACAAATGGTAGTTGTGCTGACTCTGGGCAGGATTTAAGCTCATAGAGAAGTATGTAGCAGGCCTCATTTTTCAATGTAGAATGAGTTCTTAACACTATATGTGTTATGATTCAATTCTTTATTTTGAGAATTGCCCCTTAGGCAAAATTGATGGAATGAGGTTACTTCTCCTGTGTAACTACCAATGGCACTGGAGAGAACGGCCTCCAGTTGTGCCAAGGGAGGCTCAAGTCGTATATTAGGAAAAAAATTACTGCCTGGAAGGGTGATCAGGTGCTGGAATGGGCTGCTCGGGGAGTGGTGGAGTCACTGTCCTTGGAGGTGTTCAAGAAACATTTACATGTTGTAATAAAGGTCATGGGTTAGTGGGAAAATACTAGTGGTAGGTGGACAGTTTAGCTGCATAATCTTGAAGGTCTTTTCCAACCTTGATAGTTACAACTGTGAAGTCAGAACTATGTATTCTGACTCGTCTGCAGTGTTCACTATGTAGAGCTGGAATGATGTGCAGATACACAAGCATGTGCTCAAGTGTGCATCTGTGCTGTGTGTAGTTGTGTACTGGAGCAGTTGGATTTTAACTGTGTAAATGCATGCATGTCCGCTAAAGACAAAAGACCAATTGGCAGACTTGTGCTTGTAGGAGGTTGTGTTTTTAACGTCTGTTGAGTGGTTTTAATTTCAAGGAATGGATATATCTACAGGTAACCAACTGAAACTAATAGAGAAAACTTGCTGAAAAATTGGAGCAATCTCCGCTTGCTTATTCCAGTGGTTGGCAAAAGAGCTGGTGAAAGGTATTGCCTTATTTTATGTGAAAGTGTTTTAAATCTAGAAACTCTCACTCGGGAAGAGAGCATGCTGTAATTGAGGTAGATTACTGAGCTAGGAGTCAGGAGAGCTGTGTACTGGTCCAGCTGTGTCACTGGACAGAGTGTTGTAGTCTTGTTGGTGATTACTCATCCTCTGACCTACTGTTTGGCAGTTCTGGAAGCTGGAGACTGGCTGCTTGTGTTTGTGCGATGCTTACTGCTGGTACTGATGGCTGATACACTTTCAATTTCTTACAGAATCCAGAAGACAAGTTTGGATCTTCTCACATACATTAACATTGTTCTAGCGGGGCATTTGGCTGTAGTTTTTGCTACGATTCTTCCCTTGACAAACAACTTATCTAAAAACTCATTAAGAAATATAACCTGTGTTCAAGAACCTCATTAGCCACTTCCCAGCCCACCTTTACATTCAAATCCCTTTTTATGGGACATTAGGATAAACAAACTTCTAGCAGAGCATCCTGGCAAATAAAAAAGCTGCTGGCATTGTCAGACTTTTGTGCTGAAAGTCAGGAGTGGCCTGGAAGAAGAGGAGATAATGGTCCTTACCTGGCAATTAGAAGCATGTACTCAAATCAGTTGAGATGGTTGTCCTGTGTTATGGTAGAGTTTGTAACTCCAACTTGATATAAGGAGCATGGGGATTTGTGTTGCACAAAGCAACGTTGGTTGTTTTTTTTTTTCTGGTTACATTTTCCTCATATATTCTGCTTAATTACAAATGATTAGTTTGATGCTTGAAGGCAGAATCTGTTGAAATTTACCAAAGCTGACACTCAACTGTATAGGTGATTTCTGTGCTGAAGCCTCATTTTCAGTGTAGATCTCTGTATAAAATAGTAAATTATTCAAGAAAATCCATTGATGTGGTGATTCTCATAACAGGATGAAAAGATCATTGAATTGTTCACTGGCTTTTTTAAAGCAAAATGTGTCTGCTGTAATTTGGCCCAAGTCAAAGCTGTATTTAGGGACTGAAGTCAAGCTTAACCAAATTCAGGCAGATGAAAATTGCTCACTTTAAGGAGGATCAGCTTAGAGGAAATAAATATTTTCTAACTTTAGGCTGTTAGAGGTCTGATTTTATTCTGATGTTCTTTGACTATCATGGTTTTGTGGAGTCTGTCATTAGTTATGAATGCTGCTCAGGAAATGTAACTTGCTAAAAGTAATGAAATTAACATTGCAACTTCCTACTGGGTAGAAGCAAACAGTGGCTGAACTGTGCTTACCCTGTTCTCTTAACATAATTATAAGAAATCCAC